AGTATGTACCCAGCACTATTCGCCACAACTTTCTTGGGCGACATTTGTATAAGTACTGCCAAGTGTATCCGAGGCTAGACCTGCAAAATGATCCGAGACCTCGTCTCCGGGACATTTCACGTAGTTGTTGAGGGATATGTTGCTCTTGATGACTTGTTAGTCGCTACATTTGACCGATTGCATCGATGCACACACGCGACTGCATTTTTATAGTCGCTTATGTTGAATAGGTTATGTACGGAAAATCCGTATATGTTTATGCACAATATTTTGTTTTGTTAATTGTATATTTAAAAGTGAAATTAATAAATACATGAAATAAATAAATTAGTTCATTTATTTAAAAGGTTCATCGCGTTTGTATCGCGTTTGCATCGCTTCTTAAAGTCACGCGCGTAAAGGTAGACAATGTAGCGACTGCATCGCTACTGCTTCGCTGCAAAAAGCCGCCGTGTGTAACCGCTCTTAAATCCTAAGAAAAGTTTAATTTATCTAATTGTGATGGGAATTGAGGCAGTTAATCTACGTAAAGTATGAACGTTTTCTTAGTACGGACATCCCATTTCGTGATTCATGGGTATAAAATTTCTTATTTTATTTTCTAAACAGTCCAAATACAGGTTGTCTCATGTTTGTTTTTAAATAAGTACCTATAGAAACACATCTACAATACTATTTTTTTGAGACAATAATTTGTAGCAAATATTTAAAATAGGAAATAATAATTTGTTGTCATTGCACTCAAATTTCAATAAATAATACGCATATTCAAATATAATCAGTTCCGAGAAGTCCCGGGAATTGTAGAAGGGAATATTCACATTATTCTTTAGTTTAGCTAAATTAACTCCCTCCATTCCGATCACTGCTAATTAATTAAGATCAAATCGTATTGAATCATAGAATTATACGTAGTTATAGCCTTTGTGGCACTAGAAATAAATAGTATAAGTGACCCCTTGGGCTCATTCAGAGTGCAGGCGCGGGCGCGGCGGCAGGTGCGGGCGTACAGGTCTGCGAAAGGTACGGGCGGACCGAGCCAATAGATCTACCCGCGCAACCGCTTCCGCGCCCGCCTCGTGGCAGGCGCCAGCGCGCGCGACCACTGTGAACGCAACGAGCGTCTACTATGCATTTGATTTACACGCATCCGCGCCCGCCGCCACTTTGAATAAGGCCGTATAGTTACGCATTAATGTAAATATAATTCAAGAAGAAAGCTGACGTCTAACAGAGAAGGCGTTTAGTTGCTACCATGGACCAATAACTCCAGAGGACGGCTAATCGCGATACAAGGTAACGTGGTCGGATGTTTAATACCCATCGGTACACCAGGTGTCGCGACGAGTACCAAATAGCTATTTTTGTAACTAATTTGTTTTACACTGACTAGCTGCAATTTATCAAAGCTACTCTAATTTGTAGTGATAACAAACAAATCAAAATGGCGTTTATTGCACAGATTTTTATGGACAGCGCCGGCTATATTATTTTTTTTTTTATAATATCAAGTGAAAGGACGAACAAGTCGTGCACCTGATGGTAAGCTACACGCCTGTCCATAACAGTTGCAGTGTCACTCAGAGCTTTAAATCGCAAAGATCTGAGGGGCACTGCCACTGCGCCCGTCACCCTGAGACACAAGTTGTTAACTCTCATGAATGCCATGCAGAGGTAAAGGTTCGATTCCCGTGCTGGCAGAAATATTTGTGTGGCCTACATTTATCCTTTCCTGAATTGGGTGTAATTCGTGATTGTCTTTGTGTGTCCATGGCGTCCGCGACAAAGAGTTTCCCTAGCGCGGAGCTATGTTGAGTGTGTGCGTTTTTTTATTTCCCAAAATTCACAAAATAATTTTAGCTCTTGATCAATATTCGAATATTCCAAGGAAAAAAGTTACTTTTTTATTTTATAATAAAGAGGAATGAATTGATATCCACGACCGATTACATAATATAAACTACTTCCAGGGTATTGATCAGTGTCATCTAGATAACGGAATTTTGACCTTTTGCAGAGCTACGATCTGTAGCATGGAGATCAGCAGTCCTCGAGTTATTGGTGCTACTTACCCTCGAGGTGATCTTCTTAAAGAGATCTCTTTTACTTTTGTCGATCTTGGATGGCTTGGCAGGGGTGGCGGAGAGCTTCTCGTCGAGGCGATGCAGGTCGTGGGCGTCCACGTCCGGGATGGCGCGCAGCACGGACACGATGCCCGGGAACCGAGGCCTCAGCGCCTCGTATGTCTGGGACCACATTAAGTATTAGTAAACTACGATGTCCAGACACTTCTATCATTCACATAAAGGAGTTTTTCAAAATTAAAAAGATTTAAATATAGTAATGAGAGATTAAACAATGATCGGAATAGGGTGTTCCAAATGAGAAGATAAATGTATACATAAATAGATACAAGGAGTGACACAGTGGTTAAAACCAAACCAAAAACCAGATGTTTTTTAAAATTCCGAATTTTGTATCGTAAGATAAAACTACTCTCCTAGGAAGCTTAAGTTAAATTTTGAAGTAATTCTAAAAAATGCAGTAGATACCTAACCTTACACCAAACTAAACACTTTTTAATAAGGTACAAGCAATAGCTTGTTTTAACTAATGCGAATATTGTAGATGCTTTTATTACCCTACAATGCAGTAAAACTGGAAATTTGGAGTTCGAAAAAAGTAATTAATTAACATTTGGTGGTTTTATTCACGAGTATGTCGTATTACCTGCATTGTATTTAGAACTGTCTGTGAAAAGTACAAAGAGGAGACATATTTTAAAGTTTCACATTTAGATCATAAAATTCACCTATAAAATTGATTTCGATACTACTAGGCCAACTGTCAAAATGAGAACAACGATGTAACATTCGCAATCCATCGATAAAACTGTCGATAACAGCTACGTGACTGTTAAAAATTTTATGAAAACTGGCAACCCTGCAAATGTCATTATACTCCGCCTTGACACACGAGTGAGAAACGGTACCTGCACGGCCAAGGCGAGCAGCGCGGCCTGGTTGGCCTCGTGCTGGCCGTGCGTCCTCAGCGCCTGCAGCACGGCGGCCAAGGCGCCGCTGGCCTCGGCCGCGCCCACGCGCCCCGCCTCCAGCGCCGAGCGCAGCGCCGGCAGCGCCACGAGGCACGCGCGCAGCGACACCGTCGAGTCGTTCCACGTCAGCGCGCGCAGGATCTGCGGACGCCACGCGTCTTTTGTTGCATTGCCCAAGTCGGTAGCTCACGGTTTGCACGTACACTCACAGCCCCGCACGTTTCTCCTAGCACGGGAATCGAACCCGGGACCTCTGCGTGGCAGTTGATGGACGAGTCCGGAGTTTGACTCCCGGTTAAAAAGCTAGTAAAAAGTGTAAGGTTTAGAAGGGTAAGGGTGCTGGTGAAATTACAGGCACATGAAACTTGTCAACTTATCTGCCGGCCACTAACTAAAAACACGGCTAATTGACAAAATATTTTTTTGAGATATCTTTTCAATTTCAATTGTTTATTGCATATCACATTACAAATTTAAGATGGAACATTAATTGATGGTATATATGTGACGCCCTGCAAGGGCACAGCAACATCTGAGGGCTAAATTCATAAATCACACTATTTAATTATATTAAATTATTACATTACAATAGAATATCATAACATTAAATTATTATATCACATTATTACATTGCATTATTCTGAATTAGTAATGGAAAACATACTTTATACAATACATTAGACTGCCTCCGTGGCCGAACGGTTACCATGCCGGACTGCCACGCAGAAGTCCCAGGTTCGATTCCCGGGCCGGGAGAAATGTTTGTATGGCTTCCATTTATTTCTCTCGTGAGTTTGGGTGTAATTTGTGGTTGTCTATGTGTGTGTCCATGGCACCCGCGACACAGGATTTCCCTAGTGCGGGGCTATGTTGAGTGTGTGCGTTATTTATTTATTTATTAGTTTCAATAATTATTAATAAGAGATGTCGAAGTATTTTTATTTGTATTATTATTGTTATTTGTCATCATACGTGTCGTCAAAAAATTTAGGTAAGTCATAATAACATTTATTAACAAGAAATGCCTTTCGCTGACTTGACGCTGAAGGAATAATCATGGTGGACTACTTGGAAAAGGGGGCCACTATTACAGGCTCCTACTATGCAGAACAAATAAGAAGATTGCGGGAGGCTATTAAGGAGAAAAGGCGAGGCAAACTGCGGGCTGGCGTGCTGTTCCATCAAGACAACGCACCGGTTCACAAAGCTGCAATCGCCATGGCTGCCATTCAGGAAGCGGGCTTTGAACTTGTGGAACACCCCCCCTATTCACCAGATCTAGCCCCCAGTGACTTCTATCTCTTTCCACGACTCAAGGAACACCTCCGAGGCAAGAAATTTGACGATGATAGCGACGTGATGGCCGCGGTTGAGGACTTTTTTGAGAGTCAAGATAAAGATTTTTTTTCTAAGGGAATTTTAGGTTTTGAAAAGAAATGGACTAAATGTATAGACTTGCTAGGAGACTATGTTGAGAAATAAATTTATTTTTTTTATTATATTCATTGTGTTTATTATTGATTATCATTACTTTTGGATCACCCCTCGTATGTTACGCGATAACTCCGGTATTTGTGAACCGATTTTCACGATTCTTTTTTTGTTAGAAAGAGGATACCTCCATAGTGGTCCCATTTTGAAGAAAATCATCCACCTCTAAGGATGGCTGTTCACGCATGAAGATTCATTTTTATAAATGGCGCCTAAATTTTATTATAAGGAGTAATTATTTGAATGGTTGATTTTGCTATTCTCCAATTCAAGGCTTTTTTCTCTCTCAATATACTTTTGAGTAGTGAAAACCGATTTTTATTATCTCCTGTGTCAAGTTCCGTATAGTGGCGAACTAGGAGATGAATCCGGTTTTACGCACTTTCCGGTAACCGACTCCAATAAAACTTGGCAAATAGATGTAATTCCACGTACTTTGGAGGTCGCTTTTTTAAAGGTTACGGCTGCAGTGGCACTGCCCCTCCGGTCCTTGTGATTTAAAGCACTCAGTGGTCCAGGCACCAGGCCCACGGGTTGTTTGTCCCGTCACTTGGTATTATAAAAAAAAACTAAACTAACACAACGATCTCGCCTAGCTACTTAAAATAAGTCACCCTTCACCCCCGCACGTGCCCATTGTCACTACTTACAACGTATTTTCTTAGCTTAGCTTCGTTATCGGTGTGGTTTGCGCTGAAGTCGGTAGCTCAACGGCTTGCACTGTGGGCGATGGATGAGTCGGTTCGACTCCCGGTTAAAAGTTAGAAAATTTAATTTACCAAACAGATCATAGTATTTGGTAAACGAAATTTTCTAACTTTCTTATGGTCTGGATGTTCTGGGTGCCCCGAAGTGAATTCCGTTCTTACTTCTTACGGTACAGGAAATCCGCATAAAGAGGATTGATTGTCTAACACATTATTATTCGGATTAATTAGCCACTGGGGGCGTCTAATACTTAGGTAGAACCAATGTTTTATTTCGCGCAAGTGTGGTAAACTGTGGCACATACCCTCTCGTTGGAAGGTCGTGTGCGCACGTTGCTTTAACATGGCTTTATAGAGCAGTCGACCTATTGCAGCCTCTTATTTGTAAAGCTTTTGTCTAGCTAAGAATCTTTATTGATTTTTTTTTTTCAAAATTTATAAATTAAGGCTATTTATAGTATAATAAATAGACATTAATTAGAAATCTTCACGGCCTTTTCAGAGATCACAGCATTCCATTTGTCATCAACAAGCATCAATGCCACAGATATTGTTTATTTAAATCAAATTATTGAGAATAAAATAGTTTTATGCCTAGCTAAGAATCTTTACTGATTTTTTTTTCCAAAATTTATAGATTGTCTATTTATAGTATATAAAATAGACGTTAATTAGAAATCTTCACGGCCTTTTCAGAGATCACAGCATTCCATTTGTCATCAACAAGCATCAATGCCACAGATATTGTTTATTTAAATCAAACTGCCGGACTAATAAATTACAATGGTTCTAAAATAGTATATTATATTAACTGAATAGCAGAATGCACTAACGAGATGCAACGCCGCCGGCCCGGCAATCGGGTGTGCCAGAATTAAGGCCCCGAGCTCGGACACCTGCTCAGGCGCACGCTGTACGGTTGCCGTTGCCGGAGGGTCTTCTTCCATGTCTCCCACCGGAGTTTCTACTGTCAGTCCCCCTTCTACTAAAGTTATCTATAAAAAAAAACAAATTTCATGTATTAATTACGATTTATAATAATTAGTTGAAACTCCATTTTCCGTATCATGACCTTTAATAATTCATCCGATTTTACTTTCATACAATAATAAATAGATTTAAATAGATCGCTCTAAACGGTAATAACGGTGTGGGAGTCGACGGGGGTGGGATTCGTCGTGGAGGACGCTTGTACGTTTGAACTTATTCTATCAAATACAGATGTAAAACGTGTCAGACAGTGCAACAAAAACTTAAAAGTTTGTTTCAGGTAAAAAGTCATGGCACAACTTGTTGTTTATGATGTTAATAATATAGTCCTGCGAGGTTAGTATTTTAAAAATAAACCAGTAGTCTATACGATGCTGTAGTGGGCGTTAACAAGCGCGCATTATTGGATTAAAATATTACAGTAAAGATTGTTATCACCTCTTTGACGAGCGCGAAAGTGTGTCAGAAGTTAAATAAAACCATTTACTCTATTTGTATGTATATACATATATATGTACGTATATGTAGGTTTACGAGTTTATTATAATTGTTGTTGTGTACTTATAATGATATTCTTTGGCATCCCTTTTGCATTTCCCAAATTTTCATCCTAAGGTTGCCTGAAAGAAATTGCTACATATACAAGCTTATAGCTATAAGACCTCCTGTTATACTTAAGTTACTGTATTGTATTTTAACTGTAATTTTTATGTGAAGTAAAGAATATTTCATTCATTCATTAACTCTAATTTTATCACAGTACAGATTCTATTTATTTTGTAACGGAGTCGTACCTTGAGCACATCTAAATATTCCCTACTAAGGTTTCTGACAAGTATGTCTTCTAGAACCTCCTGCGACTCACTTCCACCCTCTTCTTCCAGTTTGCCGGATTCGTATAGTGACGTGATGTAGTCCCACCGCTGCGATAGATGTATTAACACTGGAAAATGTTAAGTATAATTTAATTTATGACATACAATAAGTATAAATTATTTTCAATTTAAATTAAATTGTATGTGTATTGTCGTTTTACACGTATTAAACAAAATTTCAATGCTATAGCTTTATAACCTTTATTTATTTATTCATAACCGCCGCAACAAAATCACTCTGGATTGAGAAGTGCAAGAGGGCACGTCCCATGATAGCTGTTTCTTCTTCGTATACCGTTGATTACGCCATTTTTCTTACATGTAATTAAACTCTCGTAAAAATGCTGCATATACTTTCTCTTTGAAACATGTTTTTTTACAGACAGTACTTTTTTTATGATGAGAAGTGATGGGACGAACAAGTCGGGCGCCTGGAGGTAAGCGACTTGCCTGTCCATAACAGTTGCAGAACTAACTTTAAATCGCAGAGATCTGACGGCCACTGCGACGGTCACCTTGAGATATAACTTGACAAGTCCCATGTGACTGTAATTTCACCACCACCCTTACCCTTCAAAACCGGAACGCAGTAATTGCCACACTACTGCTTGGCGGTAGAAATATATAAGGTGGCAGTACTTCCCTGAACGAGCTCTTTCATAAGGCGTTCTACTGCTACTAAATATGTATAGTATGTCAATTAATGGAGGCTGTAGACTGTTGAGTATCATTCTGTTACTAGTTGTACTGCCTAGTAGCGTAATTTCAAATGTATCGCCGTCCCTTAAATTATGAGAAAGCCGAATTTGTTAAGCTATTTTAGACAGTAGGTGAGCGAATTTATTGTATTGCTTTTTCTACTACTTACTACTACTACTACTACTAACGATACTAACTGAACGCGTGCATATGCTGCGCGATGGGCAAAGCAACTGTGTGGTAGTGCGCGGGCGGGCAATGCAGCAGCAGCGGTTTGAGCGCCGCGCGGACCACGGGCCGCAGCCAATGGTCGGGCAGGTGCTCCAGTCCATGGAGAAGTGATCCCGCCAGGAACCTGGCTAGACCTGCGGCCGCGTACAACTCGCGTCCTAGTGTAGTTGCAGCAGCGCCCACTAAATGGCACACCTGTAATGTAGATAAAGTCAAAAGTAAAATAGTTGTTACGGACATTCAGAAGAATTGTTGTGACAAGATGTGAGGCTACGATAAAAAAAAGAAATTGTCCGTCGGGTTATACATATTACTTTTAGACGTTACCAGATGGTAAAAAAAAAATTAGTAAATTCTATTTATTCATTTTGTATTAAAACATTTAATAGTCTATGCACACGTCATATTTTATAAGCGCCAACGACGCGCGTTTACAGCGCGCGGTAGTCGCGCGTATGTATCGCGCATTTTGATAAGTAGTTTTAATATTAGTTTTTAGTTAGTTTTTGTAAATGAAGCAACTACATGAAATTCTAAGTGTAAACTCCAGTGGAGTATATGAGCTTCTTGCTTGCAACATGATGTTTGCGCGCGTTTGAATCGATTCACTACAGCGCGTCTGCGGCGCGTATAAGCGCAGCTGATGCGCATTTACCGCGCCGTAAATGCGCGTCGGTGGCGCTTATTAAATGTGCCGTGTGCAAAGGCTCTTATTAAACTTGACCAACTTCTGCTGTTCCGATTTTTTCTTCTAATACAATTAAATGATCCTTACATGACACCGAGTCGTTCAGCACTAAAAAAAATTAATCAATTTTATTCACTTGTATGGACAACTCACGCTTGACCAATAAATTTACTATGCCCAATCTCCTATAGTTACGGATTTCCCCATACCGTCCCATCAAAAAAAGCACACAGTATATCTTGCAACGCGTGCAACGCGTCCAGAGCTCACATTGTCATGTAGCGTGTGCAGGAAGTTCTGCATCCTGTCCTGCGACGTGGTGGGCGCGGCGTCGGCGTCCCGCAGGCCCAGCAGGTTGCGGCGCTCGGCGGCCGGCGGCAGCAGCGCGCGCGCGTGCAGGGGGTGTCGCAGGGAGGCGTTCTCGGGCGCGTGCAGGTCGTGCAGCGCGCGCGCCAGCGCCAGCGCGGCGGGGAACAGCGGCAGCACGTGCCCGCCGCACGGGTTGCGCCAGATCGGGTTGCCCGACGGGGTCACGCCCGCGCTGAACCCGCCGCGGGACGCCCTGACGTTCAATACTCATTTATTTTCTCTTCACAAGCTAGCTGCCTCCGTGGCCGAACGGTTACCATGCCGCGACTGTCACTCTCAGGTCCCAGATTCGATTCGGGAGAAATATTCGTATGGCCGACAATTATTTCTCCCGTGAGTTTGCTGCGACACAGGGTTTCCCTAGTGCGGGGCTGTGCCGAGTGTGTGCGGCGTTATTATTATTATTAAGATGAATATGACGAGTTAGGCTGCTAACAGATTGACTGTATGTTTGCAGTTAATGCGTGAAGTCTTAATCAACTTCAGTCGGTTTCGACTGCATGGAGACTTCGACTTCAATCTCAAGCGTCTATGTGAAAGATAGTCCGAGAATCAAAAGTAGTAATTGAAATTCTTAAGAGGAGTCTATTATTTTTTTGTTTTGCGACATCCCGCTAATAGTAACAAAATAGTGGAATGTTGTCATTAAAAAATATACGAATATCAAAGTATTAAAAACATGATATTTAATCAAATAGGATATTGTAAGTACTCATGTGCAAGAGGGAAAACTCACTTGTCAGGGTCGGCGGGCACCTGCGTGCGTTTAACAACACCCAGAAGCAGCGTCAGGGCGTGGAGCAACGTCCTTCGGGCGCGGCCGGCGTCGTCGTCGGGTGCTTCCGTGTCGGGCGGCGTCGGTGCCGCGTCCAGCCCCACCAGCCGTGCCAGGCCGGCCGCCGTCGACACGTGGGGGCTCAGCGCTGCCCAGCGGTCGCTGCAGTCCCCTAGTACCTGGGCAACCATTTGTTTCAGTATATCCGTGTATTCACGTAAGACACATGACATTTTGCAAAGGATCACCTAGGGACTGGGGAAATCACCCGTTGAAAATGGCGGACCTCTATTGTATCATCCATTGAATGTCCACTTCCAGTCATCAATAGCTACGTTGATTGTACTAAATGGTTACTGAACCTGGCAGAGACAATTTAAAAGTTAAAATTGTTCTTAAACAGATAATAAAATTAAAATTCTTCAGTGATCCGGATTCTGTAATACACTTAACTGGTTCAGATACACTTGAATACTTAGTGTTATATTTACGCAATCTTTGACTATACTCCTAATATTTTTGTTTTCCACTATTATTTTTCTATTTAAAAATGAGTAATTTATAAATTGTAATTTTGTACTTTGTTCCTAACAGTACAGTGTTGAAAATCGCACATATAACATTTTGCGAATGTGGTGTTCAGCGAATATGGTGTTTTGAGAATGTAATATCTTGAGAATGTGGCATCTTGCGAAAATGTGATGTCTTGCGAATATCATGTTTTGCGAACATGATATTTTGCGAATATGATATTCAGCGACAGAGGCGACCATAGGTTCCCAAACTTTTTGGCTCTCCGTCCACTTAGGCAATAAATTTCATCGCCCATCACCACAAAAAAAAACACGTATTTTTTTAAATTAACTTAACACAAAAAATTGCAAGGAAAACAAATTATATTAATTATGTAGTGTAGTTTATATAGATAATTAAATGTTTTTTTTTAATGCGGTAGCACCCCCTGGACAGCATCAACGTTCCCCAAATGCTTCCGAGGCCCCTACCGTCCCCCTAGGACTCTTCCAAGCACACTGGGGAGCGGTAAGAACCACTTTGGGAAACTATGGCGTAGACAGTAATGCAATAAAGGACGATACTCGCCATGTGTATCCCTCACAAATCATAATGTGCTCTCGTAAGCCGTACAAAGGTCGACAAACAAAATAATAATATATGCTTTATTTACATATTATTATGTCGAACACAATTTTTTAGTATCAATTTATCAATTTAGTATCAACTTAGATCCCGGGAATCTAAGTTTCCGAAATTCTCGGGAATATCGCGACTTTTGAGAGCTAAGTCAAATAACCATTATTTGACTTTCTGACGAGCATTACATTAACAAATCTATTAAACCATCAGTAATTTTTTATTTTGTTTATTGATATTTAGATTGATACGGCAACACTGTAAATTGGAGCCTCGTACATTCTGAGGAAATTGAAGAAAACGGTAGTAATAAACTCGGTCAATAAATCAAACGCGTTTTGTTTTTGCGTGTTCACTATAAAAATGAAAACGTCGTTTCATAATTAATGTTTGGTTTTATAATTTGAGTTAATAATGCATTTGATTAAAATATCATGTTTTAACTGCCTAAATGCCTAGCCTATAAGTCTTTAAAGCCCCGTAAGACTCAAGTCTCTTTTTTCGGGATTTTCGAGGCTGCACCAAGCAAGAAAGTTTGTAAAGTTTAAAATTTTCTGTTCTGAATTTGCGTGATATCACGTACCTGTGCGACGAGCTGACTCTGTCGCTCGAAGCAGCAGAAGTGGTTGGAGACGAGCAGCAGCGCTTCCTGCAGCGTGACGGATTCGACGGCACTGAGGTCGGGTCGCGCCAGCGCAGTGCGGATCAGCTCGTGCAAGCGCCCGAACACGGGCAGCAGCAGCAGCGGGTACTGTGCCGTCAATTACACACTATTGATTTACCACTATTACAGTCCACTACTAAGCACAGATCTCCTGGGATCCAATTTGTGTTGGGCCTTGACATGTCAAAGCGCGGAGAAATGACGAAGTGAGGTTTGATCCTGTACTGTCAGGATTGGAGGTAATTATTATTTTTCAAATAAGCCACCTTGGAGCCGAGCTTGACGAGCAGCCCCGCAGCGTGGCGTCGCACGTTCTTAACCTGGCGCGCGCGGCGGTCGTGCGCTGGCGCACCTTCGTAGACCAGCGCCGCGAAGATCTTGTCCAACACGCGCGGCAGCAGATCTGCACCAGCCACACCTACGCCAGGGCCTGCAAAACAATTCAAATATTTTTGTTATGATGATTTATATTGTTATCATGAGTGTGAATATAAAGATCGAACACGCAGAAAAATTTTTCAACCCGGTCGGACTCGAACCCACGTCCATGCTGCACCGTAGCATTGCAGTAACCATTTGAGCCACGGGTCCAGTTACCGAGTCAGCGAAATTCTCCTATGTATTTTTTGTTATAGATCTTTGTACTGACTTGTCGCCATTAGTTAATTGCGGCTATTCAAACACTTTTGCTAAGCAGCAATGTTGTCATTTAGTCTTGTTCTACTACTGCCAGGATGTACCCGAATTATAATCCAGGTCATAAACTATCTATCCCATAGATTTCATCTCATGATCCAATTCCATGACATTAACAATGATAACTAATAACTAGTAAAACAATATTAATATGGACCCGCGAGCTGGCTGTACGCGCAGCTGAGGAACACGAAGAGCGCGGAGATGAGGGACAGCAGCAGTGAGAGTATGAGCGGCGACGGTGGCTGCACGGTTACACAACGCTGCAGCAGGTTCAGCCCTTCCAGCACGCTGGGCCGCGGCTCCGCCTGCAGCAGCCGCGATAGCACCACGTCCAGCACCTGCAACACAGTTTAAATAATTTTCTTTAAAAATATACTAATCATTAATGTTTAAATTATGTTAAAGTAATATATTTGTTATAAGACAATCGGGAAAAGGTGTTCCATATATATAGATACATGTATAGGTATACAAGGAGCGACAAAATCACCAAATATTACTGTTTTGATTGAATCACCGTTTCGAATTCAGTTCAGTAGTTTTGTCTTACGATGCAGTAAAACCATTTCCGGAATCCGGAATTCAGAAAAAGTAATTAAATAATATTATATTTGGTGGTTTTAACCACTCGGTGCCGCTCCTTGTAGCTTATATCTATACATGTATCTATATATCGCACATGACAACTAACATGGTATTATCTCCTATTTAGTTTCAAAGCGATAGTATTGTCCTGTCACTTTGAAATTAAATCATATATGAATGACACATCAATATAGTGAAATTTTCGAGATAAATTATTAATGTAACGCAATTTTGAGATAAAATATAATATAACGCAATTTTTTATATAATACTATGTTATTTGTCAAGTGCGATATGTGAAACACCTTTTTCCGATCATTGTTTATTACTGAAGAGTTACATTGCACCTTAAACGAATTTGTGACTTAGCCAAGAACAACCAGTTTATTTTTATTCCCCGTGTTAATGTCAATCACTGTTTTTCATTAAAAAAATCTATTCTTAACATTAATTACATTTTCAAACAGTACAAAATTTATATAAACTTTGTTACACAAAACTGACCATTATACAGAATGTGTCGATCGTATATGTTCCGACCATGATATTTTTTTCTGTAGTATTAAGTGCTTCAAAACAACACTGTACACTAGTATAAGCAAAAAATTGCGTCCTTATTTTGATAAATGTCTTCCCTTTTATATTATAAACCTATTATAGTCCTAATGTCAATGTACAATTATAATTGGATATCAGATTATAATGTAACATATGTAGTAGTTCTAAGTATTATTTGTAGTCTTATCTGTTGTTGTACCATATAAAAAAATATATGATTGATTTCTCAAAGTAAAACTACCTGCGAGAGTGCCTCCCACTCGACGTGCAGTGGATGGTGTTGGTCGAGATGCGGTGGGCAGGTGTCAACTTTATCGAGAGCAGCGCGCGTCCACTGCTCCACATAAGCCCACGTCACCAGCGGCGCCGCACTCATGCAGTGTCTGAAAAGCAGCAAATATCAGCTTCATTGCGTCTTACACGTGGTCACGATTACCAGTGCATTACTGGTGAGTGCTCTCCAAGAAAGCGTTTAGGTTCATCATACTGGACTAACGGGAGATGAAATGGTCAACAAATAAAAGGTTTTTCTAATTGCCGCATACCATTAATCAATGATAGTTAAAGAACGATGGCGAAAGCTGCCCCAATAACAACGAAGAGCCGTTTATGAATTTTGCTAATATAATTTTGCGTTTTAGTTTATGCCTAGTTATCAATATATTT